CACATATTCAGTCTAGGCTGTCTGTTTTTGACACCAGGTTATTCTGAAGGTTTGGCTCCATGTTGAGCAGGAAGATGGTTCAAGAAACTGCATTTTGGGGGTACTGAAAAGAGTAGCTACATCTAACAAGGTGCTTGAACTGCGAGAAGCTCTCTGATGTGTCATGTAACAGCATTCATGGCTTCTGTGGAAGAATCAAATGTGAAGTGAAAGAGAAATGGTGGGAGTCGATGAGGCTGCTGTTGGTAGGGAGGTAAAGAAGATGATGACTTCTTGTGATACTAGGGAGAGACTGAAAACCAGTGGGAGAAATGGGGACAAGGTGAGAAGATGGGGTTGATAATCATGAGCAAACAAAAGACTGCAGCAGAGAAGAACATCCAGCAAGAAACAGGAACTGGTAAGTAATTAGACAGAAGAAACAGAGGAAGAGGGAGAACTTTATCTGCAAGGAAGCAGTATGCAGCAGGAGAGTAGGAACCAGCTCAATGAGGAACAAGGGGAATGGAAAGTGGGAGACTGAGCTTGGGTCACAGAGACCAAAGCAGATGAAGAACATATGTGTGATATACTGGGGGTGAAAAAGAGAAACCAAGTCAGGAATCGTGGGAGTACTGGCACTGGGTGGTAAAGGAATCAAAACTTGAAGTTATGGGGAAAATACTAAGAATGAAGTGAAATCTGGGGAAGTGAAGCTGTGCATGCAGTATGTCAAAACAGAACTGCCCAAAGAGGGAGGCTGCACTCCTGTCATCGTGGTTCTGCCACTCCTCTGCTTTCCATCTTTAGTGCTTGTTGAGCTCTTCCATGAGCTAGCTCAGCAGCAGAAGCCTGTTGGAGCAGCTAGCAAATTGAATCATCTCACAAAGGGATATTGGGAGAGCAAACTACTGGAATTGGGAGGTGGTGTTAATGGGAGGAGTAGCATCACCTTCCCGATGTGGCAGTAGTGAGGTATTAAAACTCCTGACAGATGAGAACTGCATAGGTGAAATGAAGCGATTTGAAGTAAGGAGCCTGCTGCAGAGGAGAGGAAGGACTGAGGAGTAACAGACTGGGAAGAAAGGGTCAAGTCTGAGAGGGAGAAGTTCGCAGAAGAATGCGCCTGTTAGAAATGTTCCTTCTTAAAATGCTGAGAGGATCCATGATTTTTTCAGTCTTGCCATTTATTGCTGTCAGCAAAAATTTGTAAAAGCCAGAAGAAAGGTGCAGATTTGAATGGCAATCATAGAATGCTTTAGGTTGGAAAGGACCTTGAAGATCATCAGGTTCCAACCCCCCTGCCATGGGCAGGGGCACCTCCCACTAGACCAGGTTGCCCAAGGCCACGTCCAGCCTGGCCTTGAACACCCCCAGCGATGGGGCCTCAACAACCTCTCTGGGCAACCTGTTCCAGTGTCTTACCACCCTTAAAGTGAAAAACTTCTTCCTAATGTTTAATCTAAACCTGCCCTCTTCCAGTTTAAAGCCCTCATGACCCCTCATTCTGTCACTCCATGCCCTAGTAAAAAGTTTTTCCCCAGCTCTCCTGTAGGCCCCCTTTCGGTACTGGAAGGCCACAGTAAGGTCTCCCCAGAGCCTTCTCTTCTCCAGGCTGAACAGCCCCAGCTCTCTCAGCTTTTGCTCTTAGGAGAGGTGCTCCAGCCCTTGGATCATCCTCGTGACTCTCCTCTGGACACGCTCCAGCAGGTCCATGTCTGTCTTATGTTGGGAACTACAGAGCTGGATGCAGTACTCCAGGTGGGGTCTCACGAGAGTGGAGTAGAGGGGCAGAATCACCTCCTTTGACCTGCTGGCCACACTTCTTTTGGTGCAGCCCAGGTTATGGTTGGCCTTCTGGGCTGCGATCACACATTGCTGGCTCATGCTGAGCTTCTGGTCAATCAGCACGCCCAGGTCCTTCTCCTTGGGGCTGCTCTCCAGCCATTCCCCGCCAAGCCTGTATTTGTGCTTGGGATTGCCCCGACCCAGATGTAGGACTCTGCACTTGGCCGTGTTGAACTGCATGAGGTTGGCTTGGGCCCACCCCTCCAGCCTGTCCAGGTCCTTCTGGATGGCATCCCTCCCCTCCAGCGCAATAGTACATTAACATCCATTAGTAAAAGTGGAAGAGGTTTTTGCGGTAGGCCTAAAGGCTCTGACTCTGCTGATCAGTCTTGATATAATTTGAGCATCGTGGAATTTCTCCCTTATTTAAAGGCCCAGGAAATTGTGCATATAGGAAAGTAATGCTTTCTTAAAGCTGTAAAATAAAATATATGAAACGTAAGTGCAGTCTTAATTTGTTTCATTTAGAAATATGCACCATTAACTTTATTTTTAGTCAGTATCTCTGCCTTAGCCAGAATAAAGAATGAACAGTATTGAAAGACCTCATGAATATTTTGTTTCTCATCATAATTCTGTGTCTTACTGTGCCCTATTCAAATTCTGATCTGAGTAACTGTTAATTTCCATAAGCACTCTGTGAGTGATCTCCTGTAGTGAGATGCTTTGTTTCATACATACATTAAATTTTCACTGTGTTCTGCATACAAAGGACTGAAGGATGAGAGTTTTTTTTTAAAAAAAAAAAAAGCAAACCACCAACAACCTTCCCCAAAACCCACTTAGCTGGACATATTTATAATTATTAACCGGGCAAAACGCAATTCCATGTTATGTTTTTCTGTATTCTGCCAGTCTGTAAGTAAGACCCCAGGATTTGAAGAGTGGTGTGGAATGTGTGGGCCAAGTCTGGCTTCATCTCAGGAGCTCTGCTGGGATCCAGAGGCAAAGCATGTGCGTCCTCATTTTCCAGGGGGGTGATTATGTGCCTTTGCAATGACATTGTCCTTTCCCTCTGTGCACTTGCCCATCTTGCCCACTCTAGATGTGGACTGATTTGTAGGTGCGGTCCATCCTGTTCACTTAAAAAATTATATGTAATATTTCTTCATTTAATTCCATGAGTTACTGTTGAAATACTGTCTGTTGTTTAGCAGCGTTTGGTGGGGTGTGTTGGGTTCTGCTTTTTGAGGTGGGGAGGAGGGGTTGGTGGAGGAAATGCAAACAGGTGCTGTGCAGGAATTTTACAAATCGTTCTGATACTCAGATGAGATGAAATAGTATTGCCAGTCTGTGTCATTGGTAATATTGAAAATTATGTAATTGAAAGTTTTTACCTTTTTTGGTATCTATAAGCCTGAATCTTTAGGTACCTGGACATCTCTGCTAAAATGTCTTATTTGAACATGCCATTTACTTAATTAAACACAATATCAAATTAGCATAGGAGTGGAGTGTTTGATATCAATTAAAAAATATAACAAAAAACCAACAGGCATGATTAAAAAAAAGAAAATTACTGTACCTCATGTTAATACTGTTCTCTTTTAAAGAGGCTTTCTGCTTTTGCGCAAGAAGTTATCACATGTTTTGTATGATATATCAGGAATTCCAGCTTAGCCAGTATGTATTCTTTATTTCCCTGAATTAGATTTTGTAAAATACTGGGTATCCGTGATTGTTTGCCTATCTTAGCAAAGGGTTGACTAGTTTCTTCTTAACTGTAATCTATATGTCAGCATTAAATAGCAGGAATACCAGAGGTGACTGCAGCGTCCGAAGGCTAATGCAGAAGCCACAGCTATTATATCTGGATATACTCTTGTCATAACTGAAATACTCATGGAAATAGGTTTAATATGGCTTTTGCATGTAAACTTATAACATTTTTTAATTCTGTTTTTTTTGAGGCCATGGCTACACAGCCACCTTGATTACTTTAACTCTACAATGCAGGGCACCTCCACAGCTCTCAGCCTTCCTTGTGCTTGCCCTGACACTTGTATTGCTGCATAGAGAGCCAGGCTGTGGAACTGATGTAACTTTAACAAAAAATATAATCTTTTTTTCTTCTGTTTGTCTTCCAGTAGGTCAGTTTCCTTTCAGCAGCAATGCGTCAGCACAGATTTAAGTTGGATTAAAGTTAGCATGTAACCATGACTTGACCTGTCATCCAAGTATACCAGTGGGTGTGGGAAATAGATTTTATTTATTTATTTTTCTGGGGCTTGCTCTATTTCTGTTTTCCTTTCATCCCTTGAAAGAGGGCTCATATCTGAGCCCTTAGATACCTGACCACATTTCGACACAAAGGGCCAAATTCAGCGAAGTGGACCCCAGAGGTATGATGTCCCATACAGCATACCTGTTCTGTGAAATTTCTGGAATTTGTCTGTGCTGGGAAGAGGTTTTTTGTTTACAAGTTCCATTGTTGAGAATTTATGTATTGGCTTCCTTCAGCAGTTTTCATATTGGCTTTTATTTGGTCTTAACTCTCAAGCAAGCACACTACCAGCATCTGGGTGCAGATGACCTGATATAGCCTCTTCAAATGTGCACTTCTTGTTGTATACCAGAAAAGCTTAATCACTATTTTTCTACCTTCTTTAATTTGCATTAGCATAATTAAAAGATGGATTTGCTTTAACATTCCCCCTCCCCCCCACCTTATTGCAACAGGCTAGGCAGGTTCTTATTTGCATCTATAAAATATGCTTGGGAAAGACAAAAATGGTCTTTGCCTTAAGTGCAGTGCTCACAAACACTCTGGGCTTCCAGGCAAATCTATTTTATGTCAAAAATTTAAAGTTAGCTAACTATTTTATAGTAAATATTACCAATCGGTATGCAAACTGTCTATGAATTTTGTAAGAATTATCTCAAATCTTAAAAGATTCTGATACTTAATATATAATGTTTTATATGTTATAAAGTAGAAATAGCTAGAATAGCAGCTCTCTTATTATGTTAATGTGCCTCAGGAGTTAATGGACAGATTTTGCAAAGGCTGAGTTGAGGACCTGATGTTATATTACTGTGTCTTGACATAAGCTGGAACGTTCATTGTAGAAGGTATTGCTGTTTGTGTTTTCAGGATAGAGCTCTAAACATGGTGTTCTGAAACCCACTGCTTAAAATTGTGTGGGGTTTCTTTTTGTTTTCTCCTGCTGCAGGTGTGATGGACAGGTAGCAGAAGATTTCACTTTAATATCAGGGAATCAGAATGACCGAGTGCTTCCTGCCTCCCACTAGCAGCCCCAGTGAACACCGTCGGGTAGAACACAGTGGGGGTCTTGCTCGTACTCCCAGCTCTGAAGAAATAAGTCCTACAAAATTCCCTGGATTGTACCGCACCGGTGAGCCTTCACCACCTCACGACAGCTTGCATGAGCCTCCAGATATAGTATCTGATGATGAAAAGGAGCATGGGAAGAAGAAAGGAAAATTTAAGAAGAAAGAAAAAAGAAGTGAGTAGGGAACTTCTCTTATTTCATGCTTATAATTTCTCTTTCTCTCTTTCTTTCTCTCTCTCTCTCAAAATTGCTTAACATTCCCAGTAGAACTTGTTTAGGTGTGAAGGAAGGTAACTCATACAAACAGGCTTTGTGCAATACCTGTTTCTCTTCCATAAAAACCCACACCTTAACCAAAAATTGGATTTGTTTTCTGTTGTGCAGATACAGGTGCCAAACCCGTGCCCAGAATTACTAATAAACATGTTTACCCTGAACCTTTAACGATTATTTGGTAATTGCATGGCATGGAGTTCTTCTAATCTTATTATCCGTTCACATTCTAAGTGGAGGTTTCCAAGTGTATTTCCAAATAGATGCTTTTTGAAATTGTAACTGCGGTGCTAGCTAAAATAAAACTGTAAGTTTGACCTGAATTTTATACTTTTAAATTTGGAAGAGTCAGTTTCAACAGCTTTGACCCTTTTCCCTTATGTCTCCCATATTCAGAGTTTGCTATTGTGTACCATCTCAAGTTTTTCTGTGCACGCTGCACCATTATCTGAGGAGTAATAAAATCCCTGTCCTTTTTTTCTGTGGCTTCTCAGTTTAGTCTGATCATGCAGTTTCCTCCATCAGTGCCTAAGTACTATTGCAGAGTTCAAAAATGTGCAAGCCAACATCAGGATCTGAATTTACTAGAACTGACAGAGTAAAGGTTGGAAGAAAGTAAAGCTTTGACTATAGAATCCATTCTGTGTCAGTGTATGAGTGTCCAGAACAGCAGTTCTCATTTAAAAAGTGTAGCCCTACTCCAAAACAACAGAAGAGAAATCTTACTTCCCACCTTTAGATTTGTGCAGAAAATTTGGAAATATGAAATAGTTTTTATTCAATAGAGTGGTTCTACATATTCTGAAAGAACAAAGCACTTGAAAATACTGAGCTGATACTCAACACTCTTAGTACCAGAAAGATCCTTTACTGTCCAAGGCTCTGAAACCTGAATATCACAGCCCCAATGTTAGTACTTTTTTAACTGACATTTGTTTTAGCAAAATATTGAAATAGTGTTCATCTTCTACAATGTCTGTGTCTCTGATGCCTGGAAGTTCTGTATGCCAGTGTACATTGCCGCTTCTTATATGTGAAATTTAGAAGATTAAAACCAACGAGACGGCACATGGTATTCTGGCATGTTAGGATGAATATGGTGACTATTTGTAATACACATGCACATATTTAAATGATTACTCTTCAAGAATTTGCTGCCACTGCACTGCTTTTAATCAAACCTGTTTCCCGGAATGCAGGATTTGTTTCTACCACATTTTAGAAGGACTATTGTTATTAACTAAAGACTGTGTGCATAAAGGATACTGCAACTCAAAAATACATTATCCTCCAGTTAAAACCAATAGTTTAAATTCCTGCAGGTCTTAAGAAAACTGATTCTTTAGTTTTTTTCCTAATGTAAACATTAACCTAATAAAGAATATTGGATTGGTGATGAAAATTCAAGCTATTAGTAGCTGTTTTTTTTCTTCTTTGCAAATCAGCTTTCTGCTGTAACTCTGGATTAGACACCTCTAAATTTGGAATTGTTAGAGGTCAGCATTATACAAAATGTGGGTTTCTTTGTGGTGTAATTCTGCATGTCTCATGGTGATACTCTAACTGAAGCTTGACGAGAAAAAATGCTGCTTTAGCAAACACGTGCAGGTCTGTGCACATTAGCACTGTAACGGCTTTCTTCCACAAGTGGTTACAGCACATTTTATAGCTGATGTAAAGCCATTTTTGTTACTTAAAAGAAGCTTTAAAGGTATGAAAAATCCTCAAAAACGCAAAAATGCAAACTGTAGGAAGAATCAAATTACCTCTTGCAGCTGTAATATAAAAAGCATTCAGTATTTCTTAGCTCTAATACAAGTATGTCATATAATTACCAGGTAGGTATAAGGACAAGTTACATACAAAGCTTTCAGTAGCTCTCGTACAGTCCAGAAATGGTTGTTATTGTAAATATACCCTGAACAGACATTTTATGTAAATTACAAGGGCTCTTTACAGTTGCTTAACATGGTTGATTTTAAGATTTCCCCTTCCAGCTTTGCCTTTTGTTATTCCTTCTGTACTTTTTATTCTTCAGTATCTTCGACCTTTTAAATTCTATTACATGTGTTCAAATGGGGTTGGTTTTTTTCCTCCTTTTCTGGCCCGCTGCTCTGATTTTGGACAATACAGAACCTGCTATGGTCATGTAATTTGGGTTTTTAACACATATAATTGAGCATTTCGATGAGAAAAAGACAAGTGTTGATATTAAATTATAACAGAGTGAATGTTTGTTGAACTTACAATATTAGTGAATTAATGACAAGGTCATCCAAATCCCTAAACATGTCAGTGGCAGTAACTTCATAATACACAGCAATTATCCTGGGGGAGAAGTTTTAAATATTTTTGGAGGTGATAGAAAATTAAATGGAATATTGTTTTTTTTACATGGAATGACAACTATTGGAAAAAAGTTTCAGCCACAGATTTCTATTCTCCATTCCTCTGTGATAGTGTGAGTGTTGGTTAGCTGCAGAGTGAGTTAGATTAGGGGACTTCTTAGGGGTTAAAATTACTTTTCTTTTTACTGGGATAGTTTTAACTCAGATTTGTTTCCTGACTCAAAGCAACCTTTGTCCATGCAAGAACTTTTGCTATGGCAGCATGCAAGCAAAACCAAATTTATTTTTAAAGCAGTAATGTTTTATATGACACGGTGACCAGAGTAATTGATATTTTTTTTTTTAAATAGTTACCCTTCTGTCAGTAATCACGTTGATAAAAATAATAAAATACGCAATTCCTTGCAAAAGACATAGGTTATAAGTAAGACTTAAAAAGAAAAAGCTATTCTACCAATTAGAATTTCTGTAGATAGAGAGTTTTATGTAGTAGACCTTACTCTGCTTATATGTTTTACTTCTGCGATTGATACCATTGGACTGGATGGGTTCGATATGCAGCTAGGATTTTTTTGTTTAGAATAATTTTCGGTTTTTATATAATTCTTGGGAAAATGGAGAATTGGTTGAATTGTAAACTAAGCTGTCTTGTGAAAGGACAGTAGTATTATTGGCGTGAACTCTTCTGAAATTTTCAGGAAATATTTTTGAAGACCAAATCCCTAATGTGTTGGGCAGGGGCCTCCTACATGTTCTTTTGAGATGTAGATGAGGGCTGAAATATTGCTATTGTTAACTTGGGGACCTGTTGCGAACAATCTTTGGTCCAAATTAGGTGTTAACCTTTATCTTCTTCCTCTGAGTTGAGGTTCTAGCAATCTGCAACTCTCTGCTAGGTACCACCAGGTGGAAGATACCAGCTTATTCTCTCTTCCATCATCTTAAGCGATTTTTCTCCAAAGTAATTTCTGCTCAGGAATGTGGACATCCAGCAACCATACAAAAGCTCAAATAGTATTCCCAACTGAGCAACGACATGATAAGTTGTCTCTGTGCTTATGATCCTTCATTTCTGTGCAGAGTTCTAATGGAGATGGATTACATGGCAGTGGTGGATACCACGTGTTTACAGGGGGAGGTCATCCTACAAATAACCAAGTAGCCCCTATTGCAAACAAAACGTTACTTATGCTGATCTGGTGTGTGGAGAAGCTCTGAATACAGTTTCCAGATCTACAGAATAAGTTGTTACTGGAATTTTCTACCCATGATAAACATTAGAGGCTCTTCATATCAAGGTGTGTCTTTCTGTGTTGCTACATCCTATTCTACTGACAAATTACTAAGTGTGTCTATATACCACTGTGTATTTATTTAGCAAAGTACCATTTGCAAACAATTTAAAACTCTGCCTTTCAATGCCAGTAATTAGTTTAAATCAAAATAAAGGAAAGCAGATTTCCTATTTCAACTTCATTTGCTCTCCTTGCGTAGTGCTGCGCAGTAACCTGAATGCAGAATTTGTTTGGGAGCACTGTGCTCACATCAGTGAGCTGAATGTATATTAAAAGCAAACTGATCTAATTGAAAGTTGGGTAGTAAGTGTTGGTAGTGTCTGTAAGTTTGAAGTTTCTATTAATAATAATACATCTTGTGGGTGAAGACAGGAAAGAAAAGCCATCTACCCAAGTTCATTATGCATCCATGTGTGTCTTCGAGTTTTATTTAGAAATGATGTACAAGTTAATGGCAATCCCTCTGACAAATTGAAATTAGGTAACTAATGCTAGCATTGCATATCAGTCTGTATAGTCATATTTGACCTACTAATTCTTCCATATGTAAAAGCTATTTATGTTTTCTTTCAGTGAATTAATTACAGATGCATGCAAATTTCCTCAGGGAGCCAAAGTCAGATGTAGAGGTATAAATTTCTTAAAAACTTATCAGAGACCTGATGCTCAAAATGTATCTTGTGGTAGGTTCGATAAGTGGCAGTTCTACGTAATGCAACCCTTTTTGTTAACAGTAAATACTATAGCATGAATTTATAGCTTCATTGTGAGAGTGCAGGAGAAGTATTACCAAGTATGCAGATTGATAGAAACAGTGGCCTCGCTGCATGACAAAGCTTTTAAGCCTGTTAGGTTTTTCTAGAGTAACACTGGAAATATTTTTTTTACTATTTTTAAGAGAGGCTTTCATAATTTTCAGTGAGGTAAGGGCTATGCTTGCAGCATCACGTTTAAAATAACTGCAGTGAAGGTATGCTTGTGGAAGATCTAACAAAGCCTGAGCAAGGAACTGGCAGATAGTCCAGTCATTATGCCAGTGAAATTGAAATATTTATTAAATTAGTACTTTTCTCATACAGGTGCAGGAAAATGTCATTGGCATACATTAGAGTGATGGGAAAATACAGACTATTAGTACTAGAAGTCTTGAGGAAACAGTGAACAGAAATACCAGTTTACTAACAGTGGGTAATACTTATTTCCACATTTAAAATGATGTGATTTGTCAAGTGCTTTTGATAATTTTTCTTCTGTATAAATCTAGGTTGTTTATATTTCAACATACTGTATCACTGGTGAAAGAGATACAGTAATTTTATTACCAGAAGTATGGTTAAGAAAATTGGGCTACTCTGAGAAACATACAAAGCCCCTCTTGGTATGCATGGGGATTCTCTGGGAATCTGTAATTAGTCTATATTTCTAAACTTTGTTGACTTACGTTACTGAGACGAATTAAAATAAGCTGGTTTTGTATTTAACTTGCTCCTTCATGTCTTCTCATGAAGTCAAGAAATACCAGTTTCAGTAATGTGCTATTGCAGGTGTTACATTACCACAGGTCTAGAAAAGCACCGAGGTTTGCATTGCAACATGGAGTTTTAAGAGGTGTAAGGCAGGTGCTCTGCCACCGACCTCCAAGCTTGGGTCCCCTCTGCGCACCGAGAGGGTGCGCTGACGCTGTTCCTCACATCTGGGGGGGAACTCTGCTGTTCTCCTGGGAGCTGTTACAGCTACCCAGCAGGAAGGATGGAGGGCAGATTGTTCTGGGCTCTGGTGAAGATCTGGCTTTCTCTTTGGAAATTGCATCTGCGAACCTCGTCTTCAAACTCAGTGCCACCCCCATCTCATTCTCGCAAAACACAATGGTGATATGTGCCCCTCCTTTGTCCCGTAGCTGGTGCATCAGCCGTTCTTGCGGTATCAGAGTGAGATTTGAATCCTTAGTTTATGCGCTGCAGATTTCCTTACCCATTTCTCATTTTAGTTTACGAAGAGAGTGAATGATGATATAGCCAGTAAACCAGGAGGATGAGACCTGGTTGCTGGTTGTCCTCCAGTTAACACTTGCGTTTTTATATTAAAATTCACTTGGACAGGCACAGTGCTACGCTCTTGCTCCGTCTTCTGTGAAAGTGCATGTTTGGTAGTCCTAGCGAAGACTCCAGGAAGGGAAGGGTGAGCTGGTCAAACAATTGTAATTATTTTATGGCAGTTCCGTGCTTTAATACATTTCTTATATTTATTTGACTATTAAAAGTTACCTTTTATGGAGCAGCCAAGGAGGCTTCAAAATACAGACAGCTCCTTGGATGTGCTGAAATAATGCTGAAAAACTCTGCAGCTTAATATGGTTTAGAATTGGAAGATTAAAAGACTGAATATCCCCTGGTTCTTTTGCACAAGATCTTTCACCTGTAAAAATTACAGCCTATAATCTCGCCCATGATGCGCTCTGTTATAATCTAAGGGGGTAATTTTTCACCACCCAAAAATATTCATGCAGGAAGAGCACTTGGCTGTGGGTGTGCTTCCTCACTCGGGCAGAGGCACTGCCTGTAGGTAGTGGAAGAGCCTCAGAGGCTCTGTATAATGGGGGCTTCGCGCTGAAGCGAGAGCTTGGGGCAACCTGGCTGGTGCAAATGTCTTCTTTGCTGACCAGTTTCAGGCTTACTTTTCTTATATGGGGTACTGCCTATGTAAAATCACAATTCATTGACTTGGAAGTTGTGTTGGGTTTGGTTGTGGGTTGGTTTTTAGTTGGGGTTTGGGTGGTTGTTTTGTTTTTTTTTTTTGTAATCCACCTTTAAAGATTTCCTTGTTCTTGCCTGAAGGATAGGCAGGGCTAACTGCAGAGGCGTACTTAGTAAAAGCACTGGTGCGCATTTTAGACGGCACTTGGTGTTCTGCTGCTGAAACAGCGTACTCCGCCCATGGACTTGTTTGAAGCTCTCGCATACGCTTTTAAAGGCAAATAGGTAACTTCACTGACAGGTATTGTGCTAGTGTTACTGGAATTGTTTTATTCATCTAGTGGAAAAGTAAGTGTGCTTGGGCTTTTTTTTTTTTATTATTTTTTGGGGGGGTATTTTATTTGAGGCTGAAACTTTATTAACTTCATGCTTATCTTAAAATTCATAATATTCTGGAAAGGGACTGGGAAGTTAAGTGGCTGAAGTTTAGTTTGTTCTTAATAGAAGTTTGTTAGATTTATGTGTATGTAGTAGATGATCCTTAACAGCGACTTTTATACTGTTGATTACAGGAACATAGAGAAGTTGCCAGACAGTTGTTTTTATTTTGCATTTCCTTGACTATTAGATGGGAAGCTAGCCCATAAGATGGACATTGCCATTATGAGTAAGTATATAAAGTATTAATTGTTTAGATCGTTCAGGAGCTGTGTGGCTTATCTTTGATGTGATTACGCAACCTTGATTTAATCCTCGTCCCCTTAATTGTGTAACAACTGAAGAAAACCTTCTGAAGAGTCAGGCAGGTGCTATTTTTTAATTCATGTTGCTGCTTCTCTTTCCTCTTTACATACTACTTCTTGTTCTCTCCCTGTTATAATATGTTACTAAACAGACTTACAGCTGTCCTCTTGCCTTCTCCTCCTTTGCCTAATAGCGGAAGGTTATGCTGCATTTCAAGAGGACAGTTCCGGTGATGAAGCTGAAAGTCCTTCAAAGTTGAAGCGGTCCAAGGGAATACATGTCTTCAAGAAACCCAGCTTTTCCAAAAAAAAGGAAAAGGATTTTAAAATAAAAGAGAAACCCAAAGATGAAAAACACAAGGAAGACAAACATAAGGAAGACAAACATAAAGAGAAGAAGTCAAAAGACTTAACTGCAGCAGATGTTGTAAAACAGTGGAAAGAGAAGAAGAAAAAGAAAAAGCCAATTCAGGAGACAGAGATACCTCAAGTGGATGTTCCAAGTCACAGACCCGTGTTTGGCATTCCTTTGTCTGATGCGGTAGACAGGACCATGATGTATGATGGCATCCGCCTGCCAGCAGTTTTCCGTGAATGTATAGATTATGTAGAGAAGTATGGCATGAAATGTGAAGGCATCTACAGAGTTTCAGGTACTCTGAGCACATTGACATGCAGGTTCCTAAGGTCTTTACTTGCAATTTTCGTCTTATTTTACCATTTTCAATACCTAGAGACTCTGTTTAGAGCTGCATTGATTTCAGTTATCCAGAAGATAATCAGGTAGCTAAAGTTAAGCAAACCCATGTGTCTGAAGTACAAGAGAAGTTGCTAATATGGTGGTACTGCTTAATGGCAGTAAAAACACATTTGTTTTAGTCTTTTGTGATAGGATGGTAATGATGAATAAAACGTGGTAGTATGGCCAGCTTGTATTTTTTACCTCTGCATTAGAAACACACCACTAGTTGATTGCAAAAGCAAAGATGAGATACAACCATTTAATTACTTAAGCTTCCCACTAAGTTGCTTTTTCCGGTTACTTCCGTTGTATGATTATTTTTTTTCTTAAAGACTTCTTTTCTTTTAACAAATACCCTAATAAGCAGAAAATACAAGTTTTGGTATTTAAGCCTAGCAACAGCAGGCTAATTAACCATGCTAGTTGCGTAACACCAGCTTACATAAATGAAAGATCAGTTTTAGTCACATTAAACAAAACAGTTCCTTTATTTGTGAACTGCCTCTGCGATATAACTCGTGTAAGTATGTCTGTGGGGATGTTTAAGGGAGCAAGAACAAGTGAGAAAAGGAATTTGAGGAAGAGCATTTGAAACAAGTTGCCTAGCACTGTAAAACAGTAATCAAATGATTTTAAAGGCTTCATTAAGCTGTCTTCATGCTGTCGATCTGCATGGTATTTGGTAGGCGTGCATAAACACCGTAGCAGCTTAAGCAGTTTCTTCGTCTTTCCTATTGGAACATTCTGGTTGCGTGTTTTTTCAAGACACGATGTGTTGGGAATTTTCACAGAAGGAGGTGTGTTTTCCATAAATCATTTTTGATGTTTGTACTTTCTAGGTGTTCTCCAGTGCAATAGCACCCTCTTGTGTGTGACAGATTGTTTAAACTGAGAGCTTAGAGGGACAATCGCAGTGCCTTAACGACCTACCTACCAGTCGTTGTGATGACTAACTTGGACATGAAACTGGGCATATTTTACCCGGCATTTACCCTGGGCTGAGTGCACCCAGTTTTGCTTATTGTGTATGAGCCAAGCCATGGCAGTGCATTAAGTCGGTGTAACTCAAGTGGGTGTTTGAGCTTTAAGAATTAAATATCCCCAGGTTTGGGAAGATTGGAATGTCACTGAGTTACAAAAACAACCTTACAGAAAGTCTTGACTGGCTTGAATAATTATGTGAACACGCTTTTATTCCTGCGGTGCCTCAAATCAAGAATCCTGTGTGAGATTCCTCCACTGAGGAGGGCCAGCTGGAAAGCTGGAAACTAAAAAGTGTGGGGTTTGTTTTGACAGAGGAAAGCTGTTATAGGTAGAACTTGTTGCACAGTATTTGAGTTGATAACATATTTGCTACTTGGCTTAGGGCTGTATAACTGAACAGCCAGAAAGATGCTGAATGCAAATACACAATTGATCTCATGTTCCCCTACCCTTCCTCACCCTGTTTTATGTTCCTTGATGCAAGGGAATGCTGGTGCCAGTTCCGATTCAGAGCTTTGGCAGTGCTGTCTTTTTGCTTCATAGTAGTAGTCAGTGCTTTTAGAAGCAGTGATCAATGATCACGTAATTTTGACTCATGATTTTAACTTTGTTACACGTGGATAACTTTCAAAAGGTATTCCTCAATTAGCTTAAATTGTAAGGAGAGGTGAAATACATGCATCTGAAAAAAAAAAAAAGTTTAAATATAACTATTACACGTTTACAGTTGAAGATTTCTCTTAATTCTTGATCTAAATATTTTAAGGCATAAAATCAAAAGTTGATGAGCTAAAAGCAGCCTATGATCGAGAAGAATCTCCCAACCTGGAAGAATACGAGCCCAATACGGTAGCCAGCTTGCTGAAACAGTACCTACGAGAACTGCCTGAAAATTTGCTTACCAAAGAGCTAATGCCCCGCTTTGAAGATGCTTGTGGAAAGAGCACAGAAGCTGAGAAAGTTCAGGAGTGTCAGAGGTTGCTGAAAGAGTTGCCAGAGTGTAACCATCTCCTGATTTCTTGGCTGATTGTGCATATGGACCATGTTATTGCAAAGGAACTGGAAACAAAAATGAACATCCAGAATATTTCTATAGTGCTCAGCCCTACTGTCCAGGTACGTGCACCACACAGCAAGCCTTAGGGCAGAACTTCAGCCCAAGAAAGACTTCTTTGTAGGAATTCTCTTGCAGCCGGGAATTACGTATTGCCCGATACAGTTAAGCTAAATTACATCTTCCCTTTGTACCTCGGGAACCTAAAATGCTGGGAAAGGGGGAACAAAAGACGTTCTGAATGTGAGCTTGCATGTTATGGGTTTGGTATTTGGGTTATTATGAGAGCATTACAAAGGCTGCTGTCGGGGTTTTAATTCTGTTGTGAACAAAGTAATTTAATGTTGAATTCGTCCAATAATTCATGCAGATACACAATTTCTGTGGGCTTGTGATTCAATCAGTGAAGACTGTATTGTTGCCTAATTTCAATACCAAGGCAATGAACCCTGTGTCCTGCAAACAGACCTTCCTGGTGCAGTAATGCCTTGGGTATAATGGCTTTGGTGTCGGCAGTCACATAGCTGGGGAAAAGAACTGACTTAGTTTTCCAGTAAGATTTTGTGGTTTCTGGATTGGTTAATTCCTTAATAAACATCTTGGAAATATTTAATTTAAATACAGCTCAGAATTAATGCTGTGCATAATGGAAACATGGCATTATTGGGTGTGTGTCTTCTAGAAGAAAACCCACACTTAAGAAAAGTTTGGCTTTATAATTAAGAGTCTAGGTGGAGGCCCGGTAGCAAAAGGGCTGGGTGTTATTCTTGGCTATTTTGCTGTGCCAGACACTTTCTAGCTAACAAAAGTAACAATTAATATAAAACAAAACAGGCCCAATCATGTTTTGTTGTTAAGTAGATTTTAGCAAGTAAAATGCAGGTGGTGACTGAACTCTAAACTTAATCTCAGGATAATTTTTTTTCATTTTAATGGAAGATATAGTATCAAAATAAATATTTGCTTCTGTCTCATGTTGAAACAAGGAATAATACGGTAGCATCTCCTTTCAAATTACTTTTTCTACTATATTAAATCATCCAAGAGAGAAGTTGTAGAAAATAGTTACAGCTCAGGGGAGGAGAGAGAAGGTAGCCAGCAACCAAACATAGTGCAGGATGGTTCATGTTCCCTTTTGCCTATTGTTACCACCAACTACCTTTAGATGAGTAAAAGATTGATTTAATACATTTCTGTATCTACCAGTGATGGAAATAATTGTGGTAGGTTAAGACATGTGAAAAGTCTGAGTTTAGCGTGAAAATGCCTCAGATACACATGTAAGAGAAACAGAGAAGTGATTGCTTGACGTCAGCACTGGGACGTTTAAAGTATCATTTTTAATCCAGATTTTAATCTCTTTAGACAAACTAACACCACTAGAAAGGCATCCTAAAGGCTGTTCTGTTTCTGGAGAAAGATTCTATGCTTCGCACATAAAGATGATGTGAATAAATCAGCTTAATCAATATTTTGTGTGTCCTTTCTTTGCAGATCAGCAACCGTGTCCTGTATGTATTTTTTACACATGTCCAAGAGTTCTTTGGGAATGTGACCCTAAAGCAGGCGACAAAACCTCTTCGCTGGTCAAATATGGCAACAATGCCAGCACTTCCAGAAACACAAGAAAGCATCAAAGAAGAAATCAGGCGACAGGTTGGCAGTTAGTTTAGTGTTTTTCTGTTTATCTTTTCCCCGGCTTTTGTACATTCAGTAGTAAGGTCTCATAAGCTTGTAACATGCTCTATAATTCTATCACAATCTTCCTGTCAGTGGAGACCACTGGAAAGAGATTGGTGATATTCTTTCCCATTTCATGTGCGGAAAGTTGTTAGTAGTTTTTCTTGTGATAATTATAGCTGTATCTCTTGTGGATTGCTTTGCTGTATAGTTGAATGCTTTTATGGTGGGAGGAAGGTTAGGAGAACATGTTAAAGAGCGTGGTTTCTTTAATACTGCTCTTCAGCTACTTCTAGATTGCGTGCTGAATGTCTGTTAACGCTTGTTGTTGGCCAACATGTCAAGCATTGAAAACCAGAACTCCAAGCCTGCTGCCACAAAGCCAAAAAGATTTTTCTTTTCAGTTTCCCCTGCTATGATATATTAAAGACACAAATTTCTTTGGAAATATTTCTAGGAGTTCCTACTGAACTGTTTACACAGAGACTTGCAGGCAGGGATAAAAGACTTGTCCAAAGAAGAGAGACTCTGGGAGGTGCAAAGAATTTTAACAGCTCTTAAGAGGAAACTACGAGAAGCAAAGAGACAGGTGGGTAACTTTTCTGTTTATTGGCCAGACTTCTAAATCATGGATCCCTAATTTGTGACAATGCAGAGGCACGCTTTTTACTGCAGATTTTTTTACTGCACCATCTCTTTACTGCAGATTCTTTCATCTTAATTTGATATGGCTGAGGAGCAATTTCATTTTCTGGTTAGCTGGCTCTCCCTAGGGACAGCAAGATCTTCACGCTCCTTCACAGCTGTTAAGAAAAACAAAATATGTGTGATTAAATACTTAGTGTTTGACAGAGCATGTATTCATTACAAAACGGTGTGTCCTGGAGTACCAAGAGGAATTACTGGAAGACTTAAGGTTAACAAACTTCAGAAGCTGCTTTTTTTTTTTTAACTGTCATATCTCCCAGGGAAGGGACAGACCTTACAGAATATTTTCAAGACAATGGGGATGGTGATTCTAAATTTGGAAAATAATACCTTCAAAAAATCTTTTTTACAGTGAATAGAGTGAGTGGGGAAGCTGTCCTTTTGAAAGTTATTCTCTTCCTCTGGCAGGAGTGTGAAACAAAGATTGCACAAGAAATTGCTAGCCTTTCAAAGGAGGATGTCTCCAAAGAAGAAATGAATGAGAACGAAGAAGTTATAAATATTCTGCTCGCACAGGTAGATGGCAGGCACTTCCCTGTTTGTCTGCTGCTATCTTCTTGTTCCGCATCTTTCAGAAACATTAAACGCTTTTTTGTTCCTTTTCGTGGAACGGGAAATTGAAGGCTGAAAGGGGTCTCTCTGTCCATTCGAACACAAGGCTTTGTTTTAACCGTAAGTAAAGTAGGGGAGGAATGCTGACTGCAGGAGTAAACCCAAAGCTGAGTAGACTCTTGTTAACAGCAGAAAGGAAGGAGACACCGTGCAACAACAAAAAAAGTAGCCTTTGTTGTTAACGTACTTAGAAAGCACTT